TTACATATAGCATGAATAATTATAACATATTTTAATCCAAAAATAAAATTTAAATTACTTGAAGGATTAGAAAAAACTACATATAGCATGAATAATTATAATATATCTTAATCTAAAAATAAAATTTTTAAATAAAAATATTTATTTTTAGGAAAGATAAAATAATTATCTCTCAATTTTTTGTTGGCTTGATTTGGTAAGAAATGAAGAATAGAAAGAGGTGAGCCATCTACCTAAGATAATATATTTTTATATTTATTTAATTTATTAAAAAAATAATATCACTAATTTAAAATATTAAATATTTATTTTTTTTAAAATTTTTATTAATAATAAAATAAAATAAATATATTTAAATTGGAGGATTTGATTACGATTTTACTATATTAATAGCTAAACTTAAATCGAATGTTTCCATCACTTGTCTGGGCTAAGATCCTCAATAAAGTTCTTTGGATTGCTTGAACGATTCTAATAATAGAGACAAACCAATTACCTTCTACCTAATTAATTCTAATCTTCAAGCAGTGGATGATCTATTTTTTTATTTTTGCCCTAATTATGACTTGGATTACGTCGGCAACTGCGCGACGCGCACCTGTTACGAAGAGAGACAGGGTCCACCCTCACGTGTTGGGGCCCGCAGCGTAGCAACCTACCTACCCAATTCTTTAACCGTTCCTGTCCAGACTTCCGATTACTCGCTGAGAATTTTGTTTGACGAGACGTGAGATGGCGGCCGCCTGGAGAGGACGCGATGAAGCGGTGGACGACTTCGACGAGTACGATCCGACGCCGTACGGCGGAGGATACGATCTCAGCCTCACCTTCGGGCGCCCCCTCCCGCCGTCGGAGGAGATCTGCTATCCCCTCTCCTCTGGTGCCTCCGGCGTCGACTACGAGAGACCTCACTACTCCTCCGGCTCCGTCCCCTCCGCCTATGAAGCTGACTACGGGGACCCCTACGGTCGCTCGAGGCCGAAGCCGCAGCCGGCCTACGGCTTCCGACCCCAGCAGGAGGTCGAGGAAGGAGGAGTAGGCGATTTCGGCGCCTACGGTGGTGGCAGGCGCCCCCAGCCTAGACCTGGGTATGGCGATTACGGATCCGAGTATGGTGGGAGGCCCAAGCGCGACGAAGAACCTTCATACGGATACGAGGGCTACGGATCTTACCAGACCGACGAGTATGGCTGCGGGGCGCAACCATCATATGAGAGGCCCGTTTACGGCGGCGAAGAGGAGACCGGAGGGTATGACCCAGATCAAGGTGAAGGATATCGCCGCCCTAATTATGTAAGTCCTGCTCTTACCTTGTTCGGTCCTGGAGAAGTAACCTATATATATAGTTCCACTGTTTTGTGCTTACATGTTTATATGCTCTTTTGTGATAGTTTCTGTTCAATGATTGCTCATGGATTCTTGTAGTTTTCTGCACGACCCTCCCGATCGACACTCTTGCTATAACTTTGACTTCCCTTTCTACCTGTCCTCGTAACCACTACTTTCATGGATCATCTTCATATGCAACCTTTTCATATAATTTCCATCATATGAAATCTTTTCATAGTAATTTCTTCGTCTGTAAGAAATTGGCCTTGATAGGGAGGGGTAAAGGATGAGTGAAAGAATCGAAATCTTAGTTACTCATTGAGGTTTAATTTGCTTCGATGATTAGAGTTAGATGGGAATATATAGTTCGGAGGCATCAAACAAAACTTTGTTTATTTGCTTCAACATTTAGAGGAGGAGCTCATTCAAGACTTACTCGAACGATTACTCAACAGAAAATGAGAGCTTTGGCTTCCTCTCATCGAGATGGAGGAACACAAAAGCAGCTGAAATCAGCCTTCGTGAGCTGATCTCCAATTAAAATGGCTGATCCGAGTGGAGGAGGTGAATAGGGGAAGCACAAAGAAGGTTGATGACTAATAAAACGTTTATAGGTCATAGTTTTTTGGTTGGTCAACAAATGCTAGTTGATTGTTTGCCAATCATTCCTTCACAAATAGTTTGTCATCAATAGGTCCATCGATGTCATCGATTAATTAGTTGCCACCAACATATTCAAATGATCATAGCGTGTTGGTGGCAGCTTCATGCTTGAGGTTCATTCTATTGCAACCATATCTGATAGTTGACTAAACAGGGGTGTCTGCCTCGGTTGACCTAAGCTCTCAAATCGCTTGAAAACTGATCAAAGGTTGGTTGATTCTTGGCGACTTTTGACACTCTTTTACATGGATTATACTAATAACAATTCTTACATCTTTGGTATGTTCATCAAGCCAACAAAGTGAATGCTGCAAAAAACAGACTCTAGTTATTTGAAATCTGAAATTTTTGAGACTCAAATTCGTACCGGCAAAAAAAAAAGTATCGATGCTTCAATGACATTACTTACACAATAAATGTCTTCAATTTTTTTTCTTTTTATTTTAAACCTCATAATTATTTCAAATCATAATGAAGTTATTTTATTATTGTTTAAACTAAAAATTGTTCATTCATTGGTTCATTCATTCATTAGGAAAGATGGTTAAGAAAAACAGGTACAGGAGGTACAAAAATCGGTAGGTAGAGAGATCATTTCTGTAGGAATGAGAAAGTACCCTAAGCAGAACAAAATTAACCAAAACATGAGCCTCCATGCTAGCCTTATGTATAAATAAATGGCCAGCCGATTACATTTGTAGGAGACATTTTATGATTCGTTGTTGTCACTGTATTTAACTTATATTTGATAGAATTAAGGTTTTGTAGCTATTTTTATTTGTTATGGATGAAACTTCCTTTGCATCGCAACTCTGGCATTAAGGTAAATTTAACACTTGAATTTTGGATCCTTAAGCAGGGTGATGATTCTGATGAGGAAAAGAATCACAACTATGGTAAGCATCACCATCACCATCACCATCACCGCAACTATGCTGATGATGAATGAACGGTTAACACTGTTCGCTTCGACGTCCCCGACACTTAATAGTAATAAAATGAAGTTGAAAATCTGGTGTGTTAAATTGTTCTTATTGTGAGACGTTGGGACCAATGTCTTCTC